CCAGCCACTTCACACTCAGCCACGAACCTACCCAGCAAGAGCTGAAGATCAGAGCTGGATGAAGCTAGGAGGACCATCCACAAAAAGCAGAGACGAGATTCTCCTGCCACCAAACTCAACACACTCCACACCATGGCTGTGCCTCGAAATTCTGTCCATAAAGGTAATGAACAGAACCGGTGACAATGGGCAACCCTGGCGGAGTCCAACCCTCACCAGGAACAGGTGCGACTTACTACCGGCTATGCGGACCAAACTCACGCTCCTCTGGTAAAGGGACTGAATGGCCCTTAACAGAAAGCCACCCACCCCATACTCCTGGAGCGTCCCCCACAGGGTGCCCCTGGGGACACGGTCATAAGCCTTCTCCAAATCCATAAAACACATGCGGATTGGTTGGGCAAACTCCCATGCCCCTCCATCACCCTTGCAAGGGTATAGAGCTGGTCCACAGTTCCACGGCCAGGACGAAAACCACATTGCTCCTCCTCTATCTGAGATTCAACTATCGATCGGACCCTCCTCTCCAGTACCTTGGAGTAGACCTTTCCAGGGAGGCTGAGGAGTGTGATCCCCCTATAGTTGGAACACACCCTCAGATCACCCTTCTTAAAGTTGGGGACCACCACCCCAGTCTTCCACTCCACAGGAACAGCCCCCGATGACCACGCAATGTTGCAGAGATGTGTCAACCACAACAGCCCTACAACATCCATAGCCTTGAGATACCCAGGACGAACCTCATCCGCCCCCGGGGCTCTGTCGCTGTGTAGTTGTTTGACTACCTCAGCAACTTCTGCCCCAGAGATTGGACAGTCTATCCCCAGGTCTCCCGGCTCTGGTTCCTCCTCGGAATGCGCATAGGTGGGATTGAGGAGCTCCTCAAAGTATTCCTTCCACCGTCCGACTATAGCCCCAGTTGACGTCTGCAGCTCCCCATCCCCACTGTAAACAGTGTGAGCGAGTTGCTGCCTTCCTCTCCTGAGGCGCCGAACAGTTTGCCAGAACCTCTTTGGAGCCGATCTATAGTCTTTCTCCATGGCCTCACCAAACTCCTCCCACGCCCGAGATTTTGCCTCGGCAACTGCCACTGCTGCACCCCGCTTGGCTATCCGGTACCTGTCTGCGGCCTCCGGAGACCCACAGACCAGCCATGCCCTGTAGGCCTCCTTCTTCAGCCTGACGGCTCCTCGAACATCTGGTGTCCACCAGCGGGTACTGGGGTTGCAACCACGACTGGCACCGGCCACCTTGCGACAACAGCTAGCAACAGCCGCCTCAACAATCACAGAGTGGAACAAGGCCCACTCGAAGTCAATGTCTCCACTGCTCTCGGGACGCGGTCAAAGCTCTGCCGGAGGTGGGAGTTGAAGACCGTCTTGACAAGTTCTTCTGCCAGGCGTTCCCACCAGACCCTCACTATGCGTTTGGGTCTGCCAGGTCTACGCGGCATCTTCCCCTGCCATCTGATCTAACTCACCACCAGGTGGTGATCAGTTGACAGCTCCGCTCCTCTCTTCACTCGGGTGTCCAAAACATACGGCCGCAGGTCAGATGATACAACTACAAAGTCTATCATCGACCTGCGACCTAGGCTGCCCTGGTACCAAGTGTACCGATGGGCATCCTTATGTTCAAGCATGGTGTTCGTTATGGCCAAACTGCGGCTTGCACAGAAGTCCAATAAGGAAACACCACTCGAGTTCAGATCAGGCGGGCCGGTTCTCCCAATCACACCCCTCCAGGTCATGCTGTCATTGCCCATGTGAGCATTGAAGTCCCCCAGCATGACAATGGAGTCCTCTGATGGAGCACTATCTAGCACTTGTCCCAGGGACTCCAAAAAGGGTGGGTACTCTGAACTGATATTTGGCCCATAAGCACAAACAACAGTCAGGACCCATTCCCCAAACCGAAGGCGCAGGGAAGCTACCCTCTCGTCCCCCGGGGTAAACCCCAACACACAGGCAGAGAGTCTTGGGGCAAACAAAAAGCCAACTTCAGCCCTCCGCCTCTCACCCGGATCAACTCCAGCAAAGGAGAGTGTCCAACCCCTCTCAAGGACTTGGGTTACAGAGCCAATGCTATTTGTCGAGGTGAGTCCGACTATATCCAGCCGGTAGCGCTCAACCTCTGCCACAAGCTCCTGCTCCTTCCCCGCCAGCGAGGTGACGTTCCATGTCCCAAAAACCAGTTTCCTTGTCCGGGGATCAGACCGCCAAGGCTCCTGCCTTGGTCCGCCACCCAATCCACACTGCACCGGACCCTTCATGTTCCTCCTGCGGGTGGTGGGTCCACAGTTGGATGAGCCCATGTATCCGGTTCGGGCTGGGCCCGGCCGGGCCCCATGGGCGAAAGCCCGGCCACCAGGCGCTCGCTCACGGGCCCCAGCCCCAGGCCTGGCTCTAGGGTGGGACCCCGGTAACCCTCCGGGCCGGGTACTCCGACTCTATTGTATGTCCATGAAAGATCAAAATTCTAAATTGTTTTGCAATATAGAATATTTTTATTATCTCGGTGAAATGAAGCAAATACTTTGTAGGAAAGTAAAATGATTTACTGTTGCAAGTGACTGGTTAAAGTGACTTTGGCACCACGTATTTGGAAATTGCAACTTGGGCTTTCTATATTTTAAACAAGGTGTGTATGCTGTGTGTGTGTGTGTGGTTATTTGTATCGCTTCTTTCTATTTTCATAAGCTCACTTTTAATCTCTAAAAAGTGAGGATGTAAAACACAACATTTTCTAGTTTTACAGACTTTCCTACACAGCATGAATGAAGTGATCACAGTAAGCACCCACCTCAGGCTGACAAAACATTGCAGCAACTTTTTACTTTGTAAGAAAATGAAATATGTATTAGGAAGATGTAAATAGAAATGTTTAGAATCTGACTATAACATTTTGGCGCTAATCCAGACATGTCGTCTATACCAGCAGGTTATTCTTGTGAATCTGAAGGATCTTTCAGGTCTTTCCTTCCTCCCAGCGATCGAACATCTGCTTCCACAGCTGCATAAACCTACACACTCTCCCTAACAACCAAGCATGTCTTTCCTGAGTTCACTAGGCTTTCATCTAATCTGCCCATTTGAAGCCAAATAAAGGACCAAAGAGCAGACTTCAAGTAAACACCTCCAAGTACAGATTTTGTTGCTCAGCACAGAATCCTCACATTGCTGCGGGAATTGTCAGTGAATGTCATGGAAAGGCTCTCAGACTGCGCGCTGCGAGAGGCAAAAAGCAACAATATATTTATAAACTTCAAATACCAGCAGATTCAGTCAGACATGAACAACCCTGACAGAGATACACCAGAAATGGTGTCACATGAGGGATACTTGCGTTGTTAAAATAGAAAACAGACAAAAAATAAATATTCTAAAACGTGGAAAGGCTTATGCCAACGTATGGATCTTTTTTTGTTATTTCTGATTAAAGCACGGTCCAGGCCTGGAGTCAATCTACGCTGTAGCCTTCAAAACCAAATCAAACGTTGGCTGCTTTTTCACTCCGATAACTTATTATTTTCAGATTAATATCTGCGGAATCACTTAACCTCTCACCTTTGAACTAATCCAGCATATAAAGGTCCCAAAACTGGTTAAAACTTAACCAGTTAAACCAACAATTTTAGCAAATCAACTATTTTATATATTTATTATAAGCAGCCTGCCATACCGATCTAAAAACAGAAATCACAAATTTAGCACCAACAAAGTGATTCCCCATAGTGAAAATATAGAAAGCACCCACACCTTGTTTTAATCTTTCACAATAAGAGTCCCAAACATACATGTGTACCTGAAAACATCTAAAATAGTTTATTAATCCTGTTGTCTGATAAAAGGTAGCGAATGGTGTTATTAATCTATTAATTCTAATCAGCATCAGATATTACGAGGAATGTTGGAGACATTTATTGTGAAGGATTAAAAGAAGTTCCTGTGGATGCTCCTAGTCATGCGAGCAACTTGATTTTAATAAATCATTTTCTTGGCATTTCAAATCTAATCTCAACATTATACCCATTTTTTTCCATCTGATATGAATGCTCCCTGGTACATGTCAGGTTTTTGGTAGGCTTTTTTCTATCCTGTTCCTTGAAAATACTACTTTAAGATACCTGTTGTAGAATTCATTTAAGGGCTTGACAGTTATTTTGCCATCCAACTAGCCTATTTTTATCATTTTTAAAAGCACATGCTGCAAATTATGTCGTCATGGTCAGAACCTGCAAAGAAAAGGAGTGAAAAAGCAGCGAAAGTCTAGAAAAAAATTATCAAGACACTTTTAAATATCATTAAAAATCTGGATCACTGGAAGTAAAAAAAAAATAAATGGGAGGTTTTAAATGCCAAGTTCACTCATTTTTTTGGTGGTAGAAGTAAGCCAAAGCAGAGCTGAGCCTTACAGGATTTGCAGTCTTATTTCTGGATGTACGGACATCTCACCTCTGATAGGCTAACAGCAACACATCTCTACCACTGACACTGTTTGTTCTGCAATGTTGATGTTTTATCACAACGAATAAATAACACAAGCCTGAAGGAGTTCTGCAGTGTGGTGGAGTTGCTAATGCTAATGGATAGCTTCTAGTATGAGGCGTGCTCTGTTTCCTGGAGCCAAGACAGGTAAATCCATGAATGTTAATTTTCAGTGTGACATCCATCTGAGTGCTTTTCTTTATCTGATCGTTTCCCTGCCAATTGTTTTTTTTACTGGCAGTGAATGCAGGAAATACTGTTAGGAGACAACTTTCACGTTTCACCTGCATGTGAAACTCAGAGTACCCGATCATTTTTAAAAAGTAACAAGTAAAGAAATGTTTCTCAGTGAACTTGTTTTAAAACTTTTGCACAGCACTCCATTAACCTGGACATTCAGAGACTTTTGAAATATTATAATCGTAGCCCGGTACCAAATGATCCTTGAGTCGGTTCTGGTCCTCGTCCAAGTGGCTGGGATCTCCTGAATTAAAAAGCAAAAAGGACACCGTGTCACATGTGGATTGCATTTTCTTTAGTACTTTACATATAACGGGAAAATACAAGGGTTTATTTTCAAGAGAATACAGGAAATTTTACAGTGCTCTGTACATTGCAGTATTATAGTCAGTGTGGTGGTAGCTCAGCGTGCCGAGCCGTGGATGTCGTGCACAGTTCACCGTGTGATTGGTTGTGGGGGAGAGGATACAATTCAAAATCTTCATTTACATGTTGTAAGAAGTCTCTGTTAGCAGCTCGAAGGAAAAGAAAAACCAAAAAGTGTGAAACATTTGTACAACAAAAATGATAGAAAATGCATGAAGTAGGAGAATCCGTATTAATTATCTTGTGGGCAAATTCAGAGAACTGATGGAGAATCTGCTGTTGGACGGTTTCTACTACTCTGTATTGAAACGGTCACCAGGTCAGGCTTTCTGCAGTCACACTCAACATAAAACGTCCAGATTTATTAGGACTTCTACATTCATCCTTAAAGATCATCACTTAGAGGTAAAACCAAAACTTTAGCAGGTCTGAAGCTCAGTGCCAATCTTGTTGATTGTTTTGGGGAGGAAAACATAAGTTGGACAATCAAAATTGTCCCAACCTGCCATAAAAAACAATTGAACTTCTTTAAACCACCAGAATCAGATAATCATTAATTTAAACCACACATAACATAAAGAGGACATGCAGTAAACCCACTCCTGGATTTAAGTGGGTTCTATGTACATGTACAGTAAGAACTTGTGATCCTTTTCAGGCAAATTAAAACCAGTTTTGCTTCAATATTTACATCACTGCTGTGGCAGTTACTCAATCTTTAGTTTTTCGTTACCGCTCTGATCTGATAACATAGCAAATATTAAGCTAGCTAATGAGTTAAGTCTATTATTTTGTTGTTGCATCCTGTATGAAGCTCATAACTTTGCAAATAAGTGTTGCAAAAATAAGAACTCCGGATTGGATTCGATCTAGAAATGCTGAGAGGAAAATGCAGATAGGACAGCAATAAAAGGCAATTTGATTGAAAGCTCTGAATTACAAATGGAGATCATTATCGAAGCAATGTTTGCTTTCTCACAGGTTCACCATTTAACACAAAAGTACAATCAAAGTCCTTAAAATTCTGAGTAGAGAATCAGAGGAAACCACCTCAGAGAGTCGTTTACATCTTGTGGCTTTCTCATTAGTCTTCAAAGAAACACGTTTCATGTGAGATCAGAGCTGGAATATTATTAACCTTCAAAAATCATCTCTAGTTATCCAATCTAGTACTAAAAAAACCTACACTAATAGGGCAACAGCAACATGATTAACTCCTCTCTCATCCTGTGGTGTCTGAAATCTGACAGTGTAAAACTCAGTACTCTGATTAAATGCAATCATTAATGCGACCAAAATGGTTTCATTTCAGTTGTTCAGATTTTTGTCAGTAATGTTTTCATTTGTGTCCCATCAGTTTCTCAATATGGTGCAAGCTGACAACAAATTACAAAGAAAATGTCTTGTCTTATCTTCTGTTTCTATCACAGGAAAGTAAATCTTGTCTTATCTTCTGTTTCTATCACAGGAAAGTAAAAAAATAACTTTGGGTTATTTTGTTTTTTAACGGCTAAGTGATATTATTTACTTTGTATTACCCATAACTTGATCATAAAGATTTCATGTTACATTTACACAAAACTTTGTAAATAAAAATAATTTTGTTGTAAAATCATAGTGTTTACCATGTTTTGGGGGCTTGTCCGGGATCAGTGTTTTTGCACTCGACCCAGGAGCCATGATCTCCTGTCAGTCTTAAACTCCCCTCAAAATTGTCTGAAAGTGTAAAACCTACAAGACTAATTTAAAAGGTATTTGATTACTAAAATGCAAATAAATCAAAATTAAAACAGTCTTGGACTAACAGTTTTTGCAATTAAGTCACATTTGAAGTTTCTCAAAATGTGCAAAAGCTGTTTCCAACTAGTCCCAGCCCAGAGAGATTACTGGTTTTACCTACTGGTTCCGCTCGTATTGATCATTTTATTCCAGATTTGTTAGAATGGATGAATACAAAAATGAACTACATAAATAAAGTGACATGACTGAATATGGTGGGAAAGCATGAAACAACATAAACAATCAAATCAATAATGTATTCAGTGATCTTATTTAAGGGTGTGTTCCATTGCCTGCAGATCTGTGAGGATCTTGTGGTCCGTATATCCCCTGCTTTTGTGACTAAATGTATTCCATTTCATTTTTAATTCTGATGCACAGCAAATTCCCACAATTAACAGTTGAATGTGAAGTGTTTTAAAGAAAATTCCATTCATCATAAAACATCTGAGCGAGTTTTTGACCAGTCGCAACACTAAAAAGATTCCCAGACTTTAACTTTTCTCTACCTTGGAATATGCATGAAGAGACTCCCGCTGAACATAATTATTTACATATAGGAATGTCTGCATGTGAACCGGAGATGGCATGCATGTAATGCATTATAGCTTGTTTGGTGCAGGAATATTTAATTACAACATGAACATTTACACATTTTGAAAAACTGGCTGATTGTGCCTTAAGATCCCCTTTTCTTGTCACTTTAACAGTCTGTCTATACTGTCTCCAGCCTCTTGATAGAGAGAAAAAAGTGTCTGCGCTCCTGTACGAAGTGAACTGTGGCCATTGTTTGTTTATAAGGCATCAGATTTGTCGGGAACAGCATGACTTGTGGTAGGCCACTGTTTTAAACTACCTGCGAAATGTTGAAAATGTAAATAATGAGTACAAATCATGAATGTGCTGCACAGACAACAACAACAAAGAAGGTTTTGCCATTAAAAGAAAGCTCTTCTACTTTGGCAGAAAAGCCCCCCCCACCAAATCAAAACAGCTTTCATTAGAGTCTTTGACAGTAATTTGTTCATCAAAGGCCTCTTTGTTTGGATTAGAACTGTAGAGTCTGGCCGAGTATCTGAAACACCACTGAAAATTCAACATCGTCTAGACTCCTGTCCATGTCAGGCTTACACGAGAGTTGTATCCTGAAAGATAGGGAGCTGAAGCAGCTCTTCAAAGTGTCCATGGCTCAGCTTCCCTGTGAAACATGCTCGCTATAGCCAAGACTTACAGACGTCTCCAGTGACTGGGATCCTCTGGTCAAGTCTTTGGCTTGCTTTGCATTCTCTTCCATGTGAGGGTGTATGATTATACAGCACTGTGCAAACTACATGAAAGAAACCCTAACCAAAACAACAGTTGGCCTTTTAGTCTGTGAAAAAGTATCTTTCACTTACGTGGAAAAGAGAAAAATAGAAAGAAGCTGTCCTTTTTTATTTTAGAAATCTGAGAATTGCGCATGACGGTGCACCTTACATCTCAGGCTATTTCTTTTATTCTGCGCATGTAATCGTGCAGTTCCTCTGGGTCTTTAAAGCCCATATCCTGGCAAACCCACTGAATGTCCTCTTCATCTGCTATGGGGATGGAGTTGTAGGGCAGCTCCTCCGTAGGAAGGGTGGTGAAAGTAGTAAACTTGACTCTCTTGCGTTTGGAGGTTGGTGAACTGGCATCCTCGCTGTTGTCTTTCGTCGAGCCACCTGAGCTGCCATCACCTCGTCCATGTACCTGGCTGTGAACGCTAGTCTGGGAACTGCCGCTACTATGGTGGTCCCCATGGCAGCAAGTCTGTACACCCTCCAAGGGGTTGCTGGGACTTTCCACCTGCTGTGGAGACAAATCACACTGGGCCCTCAGTGGCTGGCCGTTTCCGAGGAACACCCAGTGGTGTGAATGGTCCATGTTGGCCTGTCCCTCGGGAGGGATGCGCTTATGGCGGTATTTAAGCACAAAGACAATGCAGTTGATGAGAAAAACTAATATAGCCAGGCAAAAGACTCCCAGCAGAGCATACATGCCAATCTCAAGGTCTGTCATGTTGCGGGGCGAATGTACAAAATCATCTCCATCCTCTTCATCACTCTCAGTCGGTTGTTCTTGGTTGCTAATTGTGGGGAAGTTGGTATAATCAATGGGACCGCTGGCGGGCTGCTCATTAGATGTGTCATATTTTTTTCCATTGATGTCTGGATCAATGATCGTCCGCCTGGTGACAGGCACCAGCTCGATCTCGCCCTCTGTGGTAGCCTCTTCCTCTGAGTCTTCCTCTGGGCCAAATCGAACTTTGACATAGACTGCAGCAGATGCAATGACACTTTTGCGTTTGGTCTTTTGGCAGGCCTCGCAGATGGTCATCTCTACACGCACCATTTCTCCAGATCCCTCGCCTTCTGCCACCATCGTGGGCCAGCGCTGCTGAGGCTCCTGGGATACCGACACGACTTTGTCATCCAGCGTGGAGGCATTGAGGTTGTAGTCTTTGGGATCAAAGTAAATCAGAGGGGCGGCTGTGTTGTCGCTGAAAAGCATCCAGACGGACAAACTGGCCTCCTGTTAGACAAAAACAAGAAACAAATTAGATGTTCATTATTTTTCGGTACCAGGATCAAATCTTTGTCCTCAACAACCCAAACTTTCGAAGCGTCTCTCCTTAAGTTCATCAGAGGCAGCTGAGGGACTTTAAGAAGGTTATTAGAAAATACTCTCCATGTATAAATAACAGCTCTTTTATTTTGTCACTTAGGAAAATGAGAAAATTACCCAGACTGCCTTTTGTTTGCTTTATCACCTCAAGTTTGACGCAAAGCAGCTAAAATCCTTGAGATACATTAATAATACCTGGTTTGAGTAAAAACATAATTATTTGACTATGTTGCAGACCCATTTAGATTAAAATTTCTATCAATGCATCACCTTTGAAATCTGAGTTAAGTTGGAATCTGACTGGGGAAGCAAATGTGGGTGACTACTAATTAACAAACATGAGACAGTACGCTTTTGGTTAGAATCTCAAAAAATTAAGACTTTTTTGTCCTTAAGAAATTGCACCAAGGTTATTGCTTGCTGGTGACAAAGGGTCTTATTGTGTTTCCAATTCACTCTCTTTTTGTTTTCCAGGTTAAATGCACGCACCAAACGTTCAAAGTTCCAGTGACACCAGAGGTCCTACAACAACAATGTGTCACGAAATTTTGCAGACTTCCTTGCAAATGTCATTTGTAATTTGTCGGAAACAGTTGCAACCCAGTGAGATACTGGCTTTACTTTATCAGTTAGAAAAATTGTTGTATTAAAAGCACTTTGCATCAAGAGATAAACTTGTATCTTATAAGAACCAGGGATGTTCCATATCTGCTTTTATACCCATATCTGATATACTGATGTATAGGTGATACTGGAAAAGTTAGAATATGGTGCAAAAGTCCATTCATGTCAATAATCATAGACTGAGAAACTGCCTAAAGGCTCAGAAATCGTTTGTAGGCGTTTTGGATTCATTAGATGATTAATGTGTGACACATTGAGACTTGCCTCTCCCCAGCTACTTGGGCCTGCTCTTCAGGGGAATCCCAAAGCATTACCTGACCAACTGAGAAACATAAGTCCCTCCATTGTGTCCTGGGTCTTTCTTCAGGTCTCCTCCTGGTTGAATGTGCCCAGAAAACCTCACCAGGGAGGCGTCCAGGAGGCATCTTAACCAGGTGTCTGATCTACCTCAAATGGCTCCTCTCAATGTGTAAAAACAGCGAGTCTACTCCGGGCCCCTGTCAGATGACAAGCTTTTCACCCTATCTAAAGAAGAGTCCAGTCACCCTATTGAGAAAACTAATTTTGTTCGCTTGTATCTGCGATCTCATTCATCTGGTCACAACTCAAAGCTTGTGACCAAAGGTGAGGGTAGGAATGTAGATCGACAGGTAAACTGAGAGGCTATCTCATATATTAGTTTCACCTTTTAAGGTGAATTACTGACATAAATGAATGTTTGCACCAGATTATGATTTTTCGAGTTTCACCTTCCCTTCTTAAAAAAAGTCACATTAAATTGTTTTAGGTAACTACCATCAGGCATCTCCTACATGCACAGTTATAATTTAAATATTATCAGTGGAAAATATGGGAACTACAATTTAAGTTTGGTCAGTTGTGCCAAAAAATCTCCACAAAAATATCTTAAAAACCTAACCTAGGATCTGTCAGATTTTGGCATTTTAAGTGATAAAATGATGATGATTTTAAGTGAGAGAAATCGCTGAAGTGTTTGATTTAAGAATGGTATGCAAAGGTTGTCATTAAAAGAGTAAAAAACATTATCTATTACTTCCTATTTTACGTTTGAATACTAATATCGGCTAATTAAATCGGACTTCCATGAGAATGAAACATGGACACACACCCCTCCCAAGAAATAGTGTGCCAAAGGTTAAAAATTATTAAGCCTTTTGTCTTTAGAAAATTCTGTAAACAAAAAAGCAAGATATTTCTCTTTGAACTGTTCAAAAGAACTTTCACTGTTCTGAATTGTTTTCTTTCATAGCATTGCTCATGATTTGAATGTGTTCCAACAAGCTGGTCTTTGAAGTTCTGGATTTCCTCCAATCCCTGAATCTCCCGAGCATTTGCGAAGCATTCGTAATATGTTCAGTACAAGCCACGACTCAATTCCTGCCTCTGATGTGTGTATGAGCTTTCAAGCACAGCGTAAGGAGGAGCGGCGGGCGAATGGCCGCTCTGTCCTTAAAGCTATGACACGGCTTGTTTCTGCTGCGCAGACGGATAAAACACACACAGCAGCAGCGTGTGCCTTGAATGATGAACCTGTCTCTTTGAATTTGCAGAGCATGATGGTCTCATTTGGTATTTTCTATTATGTCCTGTCACTCCTCACCATCTGTATTCTCCCCATGGAGACGCTGGATGAAATGCCTCAGATTCTACCTGGTGGTTACCTGACAACACTCATCTGCCACATACTGAACCCCATCAGCGTCCGTGTAATCAGGCAGCATTTGACAGTCTCTTTTGTTCACAGCCTGCTTAAACATCAGTTACCCAGCATTTGGACAAATGACGGAGTAGGAGAGTTTGTTTCTAAAGTTAGAAGAGATGCAGACCCACTTTAAAACAGGAGAGGAAAAACCGTCGGTTGGGGGTAGTAAAGTGTGCCCACACCGTACCAAAGCAATCCCTGCCATCACATCATGGCAATAATAAGCAGGTCTTGTTATAAATAATCCACTGAATCTGTCAGATGAGCTTTTGTGAACGAATGTGATAAAGTAGACAATGTGATTAAATCTCCACACTTTGACTTTGCTGCATTCCGTTATTTATTCTTTATTTATTCTTTACAGCATCATATGTAAACTGAACTGCTTGGCTCATAAAATATGCATAAGCACTGTAAATATTAGCACCATCTTGAGATGTAAATAAACTTCCCTGACTCAAAAACTGTCTTACAAAGCTGCTCATTTTATGTGGGTGAGTGGATCACAGACACAGGCGATGGCTCACAACGAACCTTCGAAGACCAAAGGCTCCGAGGTGGAAAATAATCGAACTTAATCAGGGAAATAAAAGAGAAAAATGCAAAGAGCTCTGTATTTCAGAACTCCACCCATCATAGTTTATGTGTTTCATTCATTTGTTGAGTAATAGAGGACATTTAGAAAGTTTTGCTGTGAAACTGAATCAAATGGCTTGAAATAGCTCCAGCAGTCCTCAGAGAGATTTGCCGCCGGAAGAATTGGCTGCCTTTTATGGCCCGGCCTTGGAGAGCACTTAGGACAATACATTACAATAATTAAATTTCAAGGTGGCCAAGAAGCGGAAAGCAAGAACAATTGGGATTTAATGCCCACTTCTCCTTCACTAATGCCTGATATGGTTGTCGTTGCATTTTTAGCAATTGGTCCGGTGAAAGGGCATAGCGGGAAAAGCAGTGAAGTGAACACATGCACACGTTCAGATGAAGCCAGGCTGCCAATCACACCGGCACAGAAATCCTGCTCTATATGTTTGTTTGCCACACCGTTGGAAAGAGAAAGGGTCCTTTTTTTGTCTTCTTACTTCTCAAATAAAATAAACTCACGGAATAAAATATTTGAAGGGAGAAATGTTTGATATGATCTGCTGAAGGGATTCACAACTAACTTCGTTTCAGATAAAATAATTATTTATTTTCAAATCTTATTTGTATAAAATAAGAAAAGTTTAAACTGCTACATGTAATTAGTTAATTCAGAGGTACCCAAACTTTGAGACAAGGGCTGAAAATGTCGAGTTGAAAGCCCTCTCAGGACACAAGGTTAAGATCTTTAAAATTTAAAACATGTAAACATTACTTCATGGGAATTTTCTTCATTTATAGAGGTCAAAATGGGCCTAAAATATGCATATTGGTAAAAATCTGATCAATGTTAAAAAGTGGTCCCCGGATTGCACTTTGGACATGCCTGATGTCACTGAGAGCCATTTCCTCCCTTTCCAGTTGGCTTATAGGTCCCAGAAAAAAAAAGAAAAAAATTATAAATGCACGTCAATGAGGCTATAAAAGCTATTTTCTAATCCTGTTTCTCATGTGCCAGGGATTTCACAAATTATGTCTGTGAATCTTAAAGACACATTTTGATGCCAAGAAAGCACATTTTTTCAAACTGTGGCAAAAGTTATTTTAGGTTTTCTTTGAAAACATGTATAGGACGACAAATCTCCCCAAACTGACGTCATTGAACCAGACACTGAGAAGAGGAGAATAACTTAGAAACATAACACTTAGGGGTCTGCTGTGTCTAAGTTGAAATGATGAAATAAGTTTATGGTCTTTGTTAGTTTGTAGTTGTTCTTTTTTAATTTTTCAATGCTGTTCCAATATTTCATACGGTCTGTAATTCTGAAATTATAGAAGGAGGGGATACTTTTCTGAAACATCATTTTATGTAAATAATATTTTGCTAAAATAATGACTAAGTTAATTATGTATTTTTCATTGGATGAAAAATGAGGGTTAGTAACAATAAGAAGTATTTCATATTTGCTTAAATAAACATTTTTTGTAACTTTCTGGAAATGTATCTTTGTAAATGGAGCCAAAACAAAGTTACATGAAAGCAATCAACAAAAACATGTTCAATAGTTTCTCCCTTACAACCACAAAAAGTACAGATGTTAGAAACATTTGGAAAAAAAATACAGATGTTTGCTTTTGACGGGTAATATCTATGACTAATTTTGAATAAAACTTCTTTTATCTTATTCACAATGACACATTGGTGAGGTAGCAAAAAGATCCTGTTCCAGAGTTTTGTGTTCATCAAAGTCCATCGGTGTTTACATATCGGGGTTGAGACAGGATCAATTGCTTTTCTAATAACAGAATTATTACATTTCTTATCTGTGATTGGAATCCCAGAAATAGTTGGAGGTCTAACTGCTGCAAATAAGATAATGTTTGATTGTATGGTCTGTGCTAAATAGAAAATACCAAAAGGGATGGATTTAATTACCATGTTATACTCTTCTTGTGAAGTATTAATATATTTTTCTAAGAAGTCTTTGTGGGTTAATATTTTGCCCTTAGTATTTAGTAGGTTATTCACAGTGTTTACAGATCTCTGACCCCTTCAAATCTGGCTTTCTGAAGCAGCACTCAACCGAGACAGCTCTAGTAAGGGTGCATAATGACCTCCTGATGGCTGCTGATGCAGGGAAATGCTCTGTCATGGTCCTGCTAGACCTCAGTGCAGCTTTTGACACTGTAGACCACAACGTTCTACTAAACAGGTTAAAGGCCCTGGCTGGGATTTCAGGTTCTGCTCTAGACTGGCTCTCTTCTTATCTCACCAACAGAACATTCACAGTGAAGTCCGAAACCTTCTCTTCAGATACTGCCTCTCTAACATGCGGGGTCCCACAAGGTTCAGTTCTAGGGCCTCTACTATTCGCATTCTATATTCTTCCTCTAGCTGGCATCATTCAGTCTTTCCCAGACATCTCCTACCACATCTACGCTGATGATATTCAGCTCTATATGTCCTTTATGCCACACCAGTTGGACAGGCTGGCCACACTTGTACTCTGCCTGACCCAGATCAGTAACTGGCTGTCCAGCAACTTTCTTGTCCTCAATGCTAACAAGACAGAGACCCTGATCGCTGCACCCCCGGAACTTCAGCCAAAAATCGAGCAAGAAATTGCCTCTTTTTGCCCATCAGCCAAGGCCAACATTAGAAACCTAGGAGTTATTTTTGATCCAGCTTTAAGTTTAGACTCACACGTCAAAACCATCTCCCGCTCTTGTTTCTATCAACTGAGAAACATTTCAAAAGTCCGTAAACTGGTTTCTACTGCAGATCTGGAAAAAAATCATCCATGCCTTTGTGTCATCACGCTTAGACTACTGTAACGCTCTTTTTACTGGTCTCAGCAAAACCTCCCTCTCACGCCTTCAAGCCATCCAAAATGCAGCAGCCAAACTCCTAATCAAATCCAGCAGACAAGCTCACATCACTCCAGTTTTACAGTCCCTCCACTGGCTCCCGGTAGAATATAGAATACAGTTTAAAGTTTTAGTCCTGACCTACAGAGCTCTTAACAACCAGGCTCCAAGCTACCTATCTGAGCTTTTATCCCCACACATCACCTCTCGGAACCTTAGATCCACATCTGAAAACCTCTTGGCTGTTCCTCGAACCAGACTGAAAACCAAAGGGGACAGGGCCTTTCAGACTATTGCCCCCAGACTTTGGAACAGTCTGCCTTCAAATTTCCGTCTCTCCAAAACTGTAGAGGTCTTCAAAAACATTTAAAAACTCACCTTTTCATCCAGGCGTTCCCTCCCTAAATGTTTCAAAAAGATGGCTTTGTTTGGGTTCACACATTCACTTTGTTTATACTCATGATTTTATTTTCTACTATTTTCACTGCTATTGTTTTTCAGATGTTTTTATTGGTTAGAGGTATTTGCCCTGATCTTTATCATGTTGTACAGCGCTTTGTGATTTATATCTGCAAAAGGCGCTATATAAATAAACTCTTACTTACTTACTTACATTATTTAATGACCAATTGTGTAGAAAGAGTGTTTTATTTTTGTTTACGATATATGCATTGTTCCAAATAATACAATTGTGAGGTGAGAAATTGTGTTTAAAGATAAGATTCCAACATAATAAAGCTTGTTAATGAAAATTACTTAATTTAACTGGGAGTTTTCCTACTGAGAAAGGACATATCAACAGAAAGTTAAGTCCACCAACAGCATTAAATAGATTATTTGGGACAATATTCCACATGCTATTAGGGCTTTTAATGAATCTTTTAATCCAATTGATTTTTATACTTTGGTTAAATGAGGTAAAGGTTAGTACATTAAGGCCCCCTTCAGCCACTGGATTTGAGAGAACAGATCTTTTTACCTTGTCAGGCTTGTTTTTCCATATAAAATTATAAAGAATTTTATCAAGTTTATTGTCCGTTCTGTTTACATCGACTATAGCAGCATCAGGTAAAGATGCACTTTTTTACTGGTTAAGCAACTGGAAATCTGCATATTTTATTGTAAAAGTTGCCAGATATTGTACACTGTTTTTTGTGTTATACTTTTGGTCTGGCTAGATCTTAACTGTTGACCACGACATGTTCAGCAAGCGCAGCACGTAACAAAAGAAACCTAAAGCAGATTTCGTGAAGCAAGGCAATACTGTGCTTCTGGGACGTGTCCAAAATGCACCGCTTCACGGCTGGTGGAAACAAACCCATCGATTATAACAGTGACTAATTGATGAGTACTATATGCTTTGCAGATGTTACACGATGCTTACCAATCCTTTCCACTGGATGCATAAGTAGCGTGTTTTACCCGCAAGCTCCCTTCCAACCAGAAGTGTTTCAGACACGAAATGGGAGCGAAAGCGTTCCATGCAGCTGCTCCCCAGAGGTCATGAAATCACCGGAGAATTGCAGCGCCACATATGATTTTGGAAGTTCACACAATAACAAGCAAGATGACCAGCAGCACGTATCCAAAAAGGGTTGTGGTTTATTGTACTTTCTGTTTACCTCAGCTACAGAGGCTTCACAGGAAATCACATACGTTTTTACTAATTAGGCAACTGGAAAGCTGCTTGTGATTTTTATTTTGAAAGTTTCCAGATCTTTTACACCGCTTTCATGTTTGACTTCCTGTCTGGCTCGATCTGAACTGTGGAATTTGACGTGTTCTGGATTTGAAACAGAAGCAATGCAGCCTGATGCTTGGGCGGCTAATTGCAGAAAAGTTCATTTTGCAACGATTACGAGTCCAGCGTAAAGAAGGGGTTATGCCTCTGGTGGAAAGCTGGGGTTAACCAAATTCAAGATGGCCACCACAGGCTACTGACCTTGGAAAGCACAGAATAACAAAAGTCTGTCCTTTCTACAAATATAGAGCTACAAGTTGTTAAGGCAGTAGCTAACAACACAAACTCTCGTCGTTCTTACAAAACAGTGCTGTCAATTTGCCGCGATACCATGGCGGCATCAGGGAGTCTCAGGTTGATTATAAGTGCTCAGACTGTGGCGGTAATGTGGCGCAATCGTGTCCTTTACATAACAGGTTAGGCGATGGCAGCATAAAGGGGGTATGGGGGTGGTCTCTGCGCCGCAGCGGACTTCCGTTTAACTTGGACATAACTTCCTTTTTATTGCGATTGAAGCCATGCTCATTAAAGGTGTCTGGCCCCCACAGTCTCTGTTTACTCTCTGGTGATCTGAGCTTCAGTTCTAATGGAGAGAAGCTCCAGGAGCACTGCCTCGCTCCAGATTATCATCTCAGCTGATTCTGTTTACAAAAGCAAAATTCACGGTCCCTTTTTACTTTCAATTTCAATATAGTTACCAGCCGACGCTCGGCAGTAGCTCCCCACGTGATCATGACACCTCCCACTGTTGCACCAAGGTGCAATTGCCGTTAATTAGACAGACAATTACGGCAATATTACTACCAAGCGAGGCGGAATGAATGCCGCAAAATTCACGCATCGCCGCGACACACCATTGCGATAATATTACGCTGATTTGCCAGCAGTGTGTCTTGTAAAAAGGGCTTCTGTGTGTAAACAGAGTGTGTGTGATCTGACCAAGATTATTTTTTTATTTTTTATTCCCCCCCTTTTTGTCCTTTTATTTTTTTCTTTTTTCTTTATTTTTCACCCTTTTTTTGGTTGATTTTTTTCCCCTTTTTTAAATTTATTTTTTTATTTTTTCCCTGACCAAGATTTAACTCGTCATTTCCACACATGAGAAGATTTTGGTGTAAAACTCTGACATTAAAGGCATTTAACCCTTTGACCAGCATCCATTTGATGGAACACTGTTTGAGCCCTAGTTCTTCTTAAAGCTGAAAAAATAGATACTAAACTAAATCAATACGGGGATCTTTCAATAAAATGTAAAACAAAATGACCTTTCATTGTAAATATATAAGATTCATTGCTTTTTTCTGAGTGTGGGAATTTAAAGGTTACTTCTCATGCTACCTTTGGTTCATTTTTACCTCCTATGATACAAACTACCCAGATATTTAGTGAGGTTCCTTGCTGATAAATCACGCCGTACCTGTTTGAGAGCCGTGAGCGTCTGGACCCCGGTTGCCTTGGCGACCATGGTGTGGCTGTTGCCCGGGCTGGGCTGCAGTGACAGGGTCAGGCCCGAAACGGTGTGAACACGCAGCTCAGTGATGGAAACCTTGTCATCTGTGACCGAGAAGGACGCCTCCCCCAGCACTGCGTCCACGGCCAGCGGAGACTCAACCTGCAGAGAAAAAGACTAGTTTTTATTGCACCTCTGCAAGTTGGAGAGACATCGCTTAAAGTCAAGAATAGACAACAGTTTTATTGTCTTTTAAAAAACTCATAAAGCCCATGACAGCAGGATTTTAGATTAAAGCGCTTTGTGCTGCGCGTCCACTCGTCAATGCCTCTCAGTCGATCAAAGAGGAGGGAAAAAAGTTCCACTTGAGATGGAGCCAGTCAACCTGCTGCCAGAACAATCTGAGGCTGCGCATGCACGTCTCAAAGTGACAGCTGAAAACACTTCTGCTCAGCTGAGTGTCATCGCGTGAGATCCCAACAACCACTCGGGCTAATCCCAGGCCCCTGATGGGCTTCTTTCACCACTCACACAATATCAACATGTTCGTTACCGGCAGAGGTCACTGGGGACGGGAATCACGTGAAGAGCCACTCGGCCGAGCAGCCGGCCTTGCTCTCAGAGTCGTACGGGGGAAATCGATTCATCTCAAGCATTTTTACAACTGCGGCCGGAGTCAAAAGGCGTGTAAAAGCTGCAGGCGTGGATCGTTTGGTGTCAACAAGCTTCTCTAATCAGCGTCAACAGATTCCTCGAAACAAGCGATGATTTAAACACGAAGTAACCTCCGGCGGCAGGGGACTCGCCTGGCTGATGTTCTGACTGGAACATTTTTATCTGATACAAATAAGATAATAAATAACAGACATGGCGGCGATCCTGGAGGATGTTAGCCGCGCTCTACCTTTCTTTTGTCTTTGAGGGAGATCTCCCTTTCTTATGTCAGGATCGGACACAAAATGAAACCTTCGAACAAAAAAGCCCACGTGAACATGTCAGAGAACCACACGTGGAAAAGAAGAAGCAACAAGAGGAACACATTTGAGTGTTTTTTTTGCAAACGCATCTGTATTTTGGCAAACGAGGCTCTCTTCCCTGCCTCCTGATTGCATCAGCCTACATGCTCGTCTCCTGCCGACTCATCAGTGCAGCCGTGCTTAAAAGTCAACTTTCTCACCCACTTGCCACGAGATTACTCAGCCACCCAGAGTGGTGCTAAAGTTCTGGGCTTGTAGCTCACCCCTCAACCCGCCTCCCTGCTTCGTCTGAGCAGAACACCAACTCTTAACTCTTCTCCCACCATTACCTCCACCCCTTCCTTTTAGCTTCTACAGTAAACTGCTGTTAACCTTTGCATTTCTTCAGCAATATGTTCTGCACACAGCTTCTGCGCTGACAGCTGCACTAAATGTCAAACTACCCGAGTTGGCTTTTGCTAGATGTCTTTCCACGTTCATTATTGCTGCAGCCCTCCTTAAGCTGCTTTTGTTACACGAAAAAGAATCAAAGAGGCTTAAGAGTTTGGAAAATGTGTTGCGATGATGATGGTGGTGACATTATTTATGCATCAAAAAAGAACACACAGAAGGTTTATTACAAAAATGTCTCAGTATAATCGCATACATGATTATGAACATAATAAATGCACGTGTGTGACTGCATGTGCACTAACTAATGTGACAAAGCTGAATCATGAGATCTGCTTCAATTATTGCAATACATCAAATCAAAGGAATTTAATAAAAACCTATTATTGATTTCATTCATGCTTTTAAACTTAATGTGCACACACACACACACACACACACACACACACACACACACACACACACACACACACACACACACACGAGTGGACGAAATTGTTGGTACACTTCTGAAGGAAATGGTAAATGGCCTGCATTTGATATAACACCTTCCTGGAACCCCCCAAGGCACTTTACAGCACAATCAGTCGTTCACCCATTCACACCCTGGTGGGGACGAGCTGCGAAGTAGCCAATACCCTGTGGCGCACTGACGGTGGCGAGGCTGGTGAGCACTGGCGCCACCGGTCCCTCCGACCACCACCAGCAGCTGGAGGCAAATGCACGTAACTCCTGTGCCACCGTCACCCCCACAGAAAGAAGAAAGAACCACAATGGTCACAAGAATAACTTGAAACTAACAAATAAATAAAAATTCTATGAATTTAACTAGGGATGCACCGATGGATCGGCATTTGATCCCAATCGGCCTATAGCGCCCCTATCGGTTATGTTCGGAGTTTTCAAATTAGATCAAAGCAGACCGATCAGGTAGGGTTGTCATGGTAACCGGTGTAGCGGTAAACCCCGGTAAAAAAAGTTGACAAAAATAATAACCGTTTTGTTTTTAAAAAACTATATTATCTCGGTGGATTACCGTGGCTGCGGTGTAGGCGCGGTGACCCTTACCAGCCACCGTATCATCTGCTGAAGTTGCCGGCGGCACATGCGCACTTTGTTGTTTACGACCAAAACTTTCTTGAAGCTAAAGCTGAAATAATGGCCAAAGGAGGAGACGGCAGCGCTCAGGACATTTATTATCCCTCAAAGAAGACAAAGTAGGAAGTACGGGCATCTTTTGGATATTTGAAGAATGCAGAGGGACAGCTGATAGAAGACGGCTATCCTGTTTGCAGCACGTGCAGAAAAAGTGTCTGTGAAAGGCAGCAACGCTTCAAATCTCATGACACATCTGCGTGACCATCACCCACAACTCTGCAGTCAACGCAAGGCAAGCTAACGTTAGCGTTTTAGCTAAAATGCGTGATCCGAGGATTTGGGTTGAGGGAGAATGCAACGAGTGGCTATATAAAGCAGCCGCAGCGCCGCTACCCGCTTATAAACCGTGTCGCGGACACCGCCATGTTGAAATGACGCTATGCATTACGGGCCTCCCAGGGGCAGATAAGAGTTGGTCTCTCTCTGAGAATAATTATGAATTTAACAATGATTACTGCCTGATGACATTTTCCCACATCTGCAAAGCTCACTGGAAGGACACAAACCGAGGACAATATTTTCCTGATATAGGGTTTATTACTCAAGTAAGGGTAAAAAAGTATCTGATTAGAAGGCTACTTGAGTACTGAGTATCATCTGATCTAATATTTTTAAATGATGACATCAAACAGACAAAAAATAAGAAGTTATGGGCAAATATTGGTATTTTAAAGACTAAAGGGAAACATGTAAACAAATAAACAACATAATTACAAAATAACACATTTTAGGCTAAATTTAGACACAAACTGAGGACAATGTTTCCTGACATACAGGGTTTATTTAATTGTGTGAAAATGTAGCACGTTTAAAAAAGATACTGTGATAGTACCGAAAACCGTGGTAATTTTGGTCACAATAACCGTGAGGTTAAATTTTCACACCGTGACAACCCTAATACAGACCATTTTAGATTAGGTTACATTTCCTTTATTCCCAGATTATGTAGTTTGTAGCACTCATTATAATGTTGTAGAAAATTTCTGGCCGATCCACGTGATCGGTATCTGTGATCAGCATTCTTTGATATCGGTATCGGTGATCAGCAGCAAAAAACCTGATCGGTGCATCCCTAAATTTAACCACTGAAAGTCAGACATCGCCTTTCAACCACGCTTATGCAGAACTATTATAAAAAGTGAATGTTTTATGTATTCTGGTTTACATAAACTTAGCAAAACAAAGAGTATTAAAGGATATTGCAACGATGACTGGAATCTTAAAACAGAAATAAGTAATAAGCAAATCTAGTGGAAGACTGGGTTTAAATGAAAAAAGTGAATGAAATTAAAACGACTTTAGATGATGTTATTTTATAAACCTGGTATTTCTGCACAAACAAAAACAATCATTGTAATTGGAAAGTTAGGAACAAAGTAAACAGTTGTGTTTATGTCATTTTTACCTGCAGGCTCGTGTCTGAGCGCCGAGCTCCTCTGCAGCACAGATAAATACCCTGAGATCTACTGCATTAATACCACAACACATCGTGAGTTTACTAATGCATCACTGGAACTTTTTATCCTGACAAATTCCTACAAGCTAAAATAGAAACAGCATAAATAAAAAAAAACACGACTTTTGCGGGTACAAAGCTCGGCAGTTCCCGCTTCGCCTCCTTATGCATATCATTGGTTTGTGATGGATTAATGTGCCAGAAAGCAGAGTAATGGTGCGCTGGGCACAAGCATGTGCACATGGACTCAAACAGGTTTGTGTGGCGACTAAACCCCAAAGGCATGATAGCAAATGGGCGAATAAAGCAACCCTCAAAGAAAAACGTAGCTGGATGATGGATCGCGCTACGCGGGAGCTCCTTTTAAGGCAGCAAATGTAACTTGATTTTAAATCTTATTTCTAGGAACAGACCCAGCTGAAAAGGGAGGTTAATACAGCTGAAGCTCCAGAGTCTGTTTATTAATAAAGACAGAGGGGTGAGGCTCGCGCTCCAAACTAACAAACAAACAAACGCCAGATCCAGCTCAGGTCAGGAGGACAATGACTTCGCAGAAGAAAAATGTTTGCTTGCCATTGATTTTCTGCTGTTTCACATTCCATTCAGCCGTGGCAGATATTTTCCAATTAAAGCGACTACAAAAGAAACTCTAACACTCTAAAGAAAAATCCATATTGGCAACTACGTCTAAATGTCAAAACACATTTTGAAGAGATACCACATTGTGCATTGATTGTGAAACAGAGGGATTTAATCACAGAAACTGATCTCATGCAAGGCTATGATTTTCGTAGAAACATGTTGAGTCATTTATTCTTTGGCCTTCATCGGATTTATCTCAAATGCAGAAACAAACGAGCCCTCGCCATGACTAATTAGGTGCTGCAGATAAAGTTTGGTGCTTCAAACTCCCACGTGTCTAAATCAGAGCTCAACTTCTCCCACAATGATCCACAGAATACAATAAATAGAAACATCGATGCTGCTTCCAACATTTTCTTCTAACTGAACACAACCTTTTGAACATTTAAATAGAACAGGGGCAATCGCTGGCTTTTTACAGCAAATTCGCAAAAATAAAGGCATTCTGGTTTAAAAATGTCAGCAGCTCACATTCTGGGACTAAAATATCATTCGAGCAGTTCCCACTCACGTGTTGTTCATTACTTTTTACTGGAGAC